ATATGGAACGACTACACGGTTTCTTCTGTGGTGCCCTGAAAAGCACACCCTTTGTTCAGTAGCTGCTAAGGACTGAGTGCCATGGATGTGCAAAAAGTGAAGAAAAGGATATTTATATTATGGCTCAACGGATGATTTGGGTTGTGTCAAGTTAAGAGGGGTGGAGGGTCGGGGGACGAGTAGAAGGAGGCAAAGGCCTTGGATGTAGGTGCCAGATGACCCTGTGAGCTCAATGTGGCAGCCCCTCCCTGCCAGAGACTTGCCAATCGAGGAACCTAGGGCTAGGAACTCTATGACTCATAGCTGGAAGGTAGATTTTTTTAAAGACTCATTTATTTATTTGAGAGTTAGAGTTACAGAGAGAGAGAGAGAGAGAGAGAGGTCTTCAATCTGCTGGTTCACTCCCTAAGTGGCTGAAATGGCTGGAGCTGTGCTGATTCAAAGCCAGGAGCTGCTTCTGGGTCTCCCACATGGGTGCAGGGACCCAAGCACTTGGGCCATCTTTCACTGCCTTCCTAGGTCATCAGCAGAGAGCTGAATGGGAAGTGAAGCAGCCGGGACACGAACCAGCACCAGTATGGGATGCTGGTGCCACAGGCAGAGGCTTAGCCTACTATGCCACAGCACCAGCCCCGGAAGGTAGATTTTAAAGCACAAATCAGACCAATGGAGCCTGAGCTTGCCCCAGCTGTATCTGTCAATGAAGGGAGACCACGTTTTTCCCAGCAGCAGCTTTGCTTTCTCTGAATGACTTGGCCTTTGTCTCTCTCCTCTCCCTGCTGCCTCAGGTCTCATCATCCATGAGGGGCCCTCCGTGTACCGCATCTTTAAACGGTGGCAAGCCGTCAACCAGCAGTGGAAAGTGCTGAACTACGACAAGACGAAAGACCTGGAGGACCAAAAGGCAGGAGGCAGGACAAACCCACGGACCTCCTCATCCACCCAGGCCAACATCCCTGCCACAGAGGAGGAGACTGCAGGCACGCCTGCCCCCGAGGAAGGCCCTGCCCGGCCTGCCAGCCACCCCTCAGGCCCTCTGTCCCACCACCACTGTGCTTACACCATCCTGCACATCCTGAGTCACTTGAGACCTCATGAGCAGCGGAGCCCGCAGGGCGGCAGCCGAGAGCTCGTCATGAGAGTCACGACGGTGTGAAAGGAGAGACCGGCGAAGGAGTGTGACCGTGCGCGCTTGCGGGGGGCCGCAAAGGGGCCAGAGGGCGGCACGAGGGAGGCATATCGGGACCCCAGGGCCCAGCGCAGAGAGCGGGCAGAGGGTGACAGGCCTTGAGGGTGCCCTGGGGTGGGGTGGAGCTGGAGGGAGGGTGGCACCAGGAGCGGTATTGGGGCTTTCCGATTAGTCGACCCCGTTCTCCAACTGAACGGCAACAAAAACCGACAAACTCAGCAACGAAGTGCAATACAGGTGGAGCCTAACTCAACAAAAGGAAGCCACCCAGATGCACGCGCAGGCAAGACCCCTGGAGGAGGAGAGGCTGCGGAGGGCAAAGCAGGGGGAGGCAGGTGGTGGTGGTGCCCAGGGTTGCACTGTGGGTGCAGACAGAAAGCAAAGGGAGCTGAGCGGAGAGCGTTTGTAGCTGCCGTTCCAACCTTGAATTTCTTTTTGTTTCTCTCCGGGCAGTGGGGGGTGGGTGAGGGACTGGTGTGGGCTGGTAGGGAGGACACAGCCTGTGGGGTCTCCGGGCTCACCTGATGAGCAGCATTCATTGGCTCACATGGCTTTAGGGACTCTGGGGTGGAGAGTGCTGGGAGGGGGGTTTTGGTGTGAGCGCCCAGAGGCAGGCATCTTCCAATGCTAGGTGGGCTCAAAGAGGGCTTAGGTTTGGAGATGAGTGTCTTTCTGTGCCCTTGTGACTTTATTTTATGGTGATTTGGCTCAACGATGTTTACAGGAAATAGACACACACACATACACACACTATGAGAGAAAAGTATAGATTGCTGGTGGGCATCTCAAGCACAGTTCTGCTGCTGTGGCTTCAGCCTTTGAAGCTGCCACTCTAGGGGCAACTTCCTCAATTACCCAAGCCAAGACAGGCTCAGTGCCACTTCTCCTCCTGCCTTGGCAGGTGCACAGACCCAGGCCCCCTTGCAGGGCACCTCCCACCTTGGGGTCTGCAGGAAGGCTGCAGCTGTGCATGGGAAGTTGAGTGTGCCCCAAGGATTAGAGTGGAAACCGATCTAAGTATTCCTTGCTGCTTGGGACCCTCCCCAAAGAGGCCAGCACTCGGTGCTCCGTGCTCGCTGGTCCTCCGCAGTCAGGCAGGCCAGGGGGTCCTGGCAGGGAGCACTGTGCCTGGAGCCCACCTGCTTATTCCCAGGATCCTGCCAGGGAAGGCCACTGGGTGGTCCCCTGTGGAGTTTCTTGTTGTCATTGCACAATGGCTGCGTTGTCTGTGGGTATTAAAGGGACACTGTCACGTACTTTTTTAAACTAGTTTTTAGGGTTTTTTAAAACTCTCTGTTGTTTGTAATATTCTCTTAAAAGCTTGAAAATAAACTTTCTTTCCCTACCACGTGTCTCTTTCCATATGTGAGTTTTTGCTTCCTCTTTCCCATTCTTGCTCTCAGATGTAACCTGCCTTCTTTCTCTGTTCTCTCTGCTCTATGCCTAGAGTTTCCTCCATAGCTGGAAATCAAGGGTGTTTTCATTTCTCCGTGGAGAGTGCAGGTGTGGCAGGGCAGGCAGGCATGTTCCCTTCAATGTGTGTGCATGCATGTGTGTGTATGTGTCCATGCATGTGTGTGTGTGTGTGTGTGTGTATGTGAATGAACCTGCAATGAAGCCCCAGGACTGCTGGCTTCCTAGCAGATGGATTGTTTCAAGTCAAAAAGAGAAACAGCTACCAAACTCTCCGAAGGGATCTGCTCGGCCATCCTAGAGGCTGAGACCCTTCGTGCTGGGAGGAGGACTGGGGAGCTCCACCCGATTGGGCCATTTTACAGAAGCTGGGAGAGCCAAGGACCTCTTTCCTCTGAAAGTTTCCCTTTGACTATCCGAGGGCAGCACCCAAGTCAGAGCCTCGGGAGAGGGCTTGGGCAGATCAAGTGGCAGCCTTCATAATGTTTCCTCCTTTCAGTTTGCCTGGACCCTCCTTCCTGGTGGCAGCAGTTGGCCATGCAGTGTCCGCAGTGGGATATGACCAAGCTTAGGAAGCTTCCTCCCTGATGAAGCCCACAGTCCAGAGGGTTAGGAGAGATGCTATAATGGAAGCTCAGCATTTCTCATCCAAAACCTTTCTCGTGAGAGAGCCTGGCAAACTTACTGTCAGTAACTGAAAGCAAGTAAGCTCATAGCATTCCCTCTCCTGGGGAATCTGCATTTTTAAGAGGAGAATGCCCATAAGCAGGAGGCATGACTGCAAGTGCTGGATTTGGGACCAACCCTGAGCAGGCAAAGGGTTATGTTACATTCTTCTAATGGGGAGGACCACAGCCCTGTGCATACATTTCAGACATGGCTTCACGTACAGAAAGACCTAAACTGAGAGGGTGATTGACAGATGCATTCCCTAGAAACTGGCACTGAGTCGAGGCGTATTGACCAAGCAGCCCTTTGATCTTCCACAGGAGAATCAGAACCCTCAGGAAACAAATGGAAAGGGGCAGGAGAGGGGCTGTTTCTACTAGGCTGTCGCTCCACCATTCGCAGAGGAACAACACTGGACCCTGCGCTGTTCTTTTATCTGCTCGGCCCTCCCCGGGTTTGCTGCTGGTCCTTCCTGGGTTGGCTGCTGGCCCCTCCACCTCCGTGGAGGGGCGGTTCCCCCTGCCACTTTCCCCGCTTCTGCGGAAGGAGAGGCACACTGCCGGCCGGCTCTCTCGGGGGGCTGCTCAGGTGTTCCTTCAGATGGTCCCTTCAAGTGTTCCTGGTGCCATGGTGGCTCTCTCCTCCTTTATAGGTCCTCTTCCACCAATCCCAACTCTGCTACCCACACGCCGAGCATGCTGCTCTCCTCCAATCGGGAGCAGGATCAGCTCCTGCAGCTTATCAGTCAAATTGGCGAGAGGCAGCTACGTAGTTGTTTGCTCTTCCCCGCGCCATATTGTGGGAGAGCAGATGCATAGAATTAGTCCTAGTTCCAGTAATTTAGTCTAGTCTCAGTTGCTCCCCACACTAGGCCCTCTGAACTCCATTACATTTCTCGGCTTGAGCACTAAGGGGTGACTTGTTGAGAAGGGCACCCTTGCACCCCCATACAAGTGTCTGTGTCTTTCCCAAGAAGGGCTGTAGGGATTCCCTGAGCATGCGGTCTACTCCGGCCTACTGAATCATAGTGAAATTTTTGTAAACCTGAATCCCTCCCTCAGTAGCCTCAAGGCTGTGGCATTAGCTCCTGCCATTTTGGTGGACACCTGTTGCTTTTGTCATCTAGCACATAGAAATCCTTTTTACAAGGAAAACCCCATCCAATGTGGTTTTGGTCTAACTGAATCCCCCAAACCACTCTGGACATAGAAGTGGGACTGAGATCCAGGCTCGGATAATTAAAGTGTCTTATTTCTCTGTCCACAGGTATTGGTGCAGAAATGGACACTTGACTGGAGGCAGTAAGTCCTCCCTAGGACTTCCCCATCAGAGCTGGTGAAAATACTCTTTTCCTATAATGGATTTGTAGCTCATAGAACCTATGAGTCTGAGAAAATGCAAATCCTATTTTCTGCCTTGTGGAAAGCACCTATCTTGAGAATCAGGTCAAGTAGAGGCACACAAAGCCAAGAGCACGTGAGAGATGGCCCCACTTCTCCCAGATATAGCCAAGACTGAGCCACTACCTCCGCTAGACTTCCTAGGACTTCAGTCAATAAATTCCATCTTTTGCTTTCATTAATCTGAGTTGGATTTTTGTTACTTGATACAAACAAAACTCCATTAGGATTACCACAGCTTTCCTATATCTCCACGAGAAAGCTTTGGGTTAAATCCATTGTGTGTTGGCTGGGAAGCCAAAGTAACCATAATAGTTGCTTCCTTGTCTAATAGGGGCTCAAGTTTTCATAGTGGCAGCACTTAAAATGGTTATCCTAATTTTGTTTATGAATCTGTTCAAAGTTAACAATTAAATTGAAAGACAATATGCATAGACATACACGTACTTTCAAAGAGTATCTTTCTAAAAATCTCTCAAGATTGCCTAGAGGGAAGATTGAACTGTCCTAAGGGTATGATGAGCAGACAGAATTCTGATGTAAAGGTTTAAGAAGGGGCAGGACACAGTTATGAAGACATAGGACAGAAGCCAGGATTCCAGTATTTTTTTTTAAATTTTATTTAAAGTATACACATTTAGGGACATAGTGATGCTTCCTACTTTCCCTCCCTCCCACCCATGCTTCATCCCTTCTTCCTCCTCCCTCTCCCTTTCTCACTCTTAATTTTTACAAAAAAAATCTATTTCCAGTTTACTTAATGATTATAAAGTTAAAGACTACACTAAATAAATTTGTTCAACAAATAGTATAAAGGAAAAAATACTGTTCCTCAATGGAAGTGACAAGAGCCATAAACAATCATTGAATCTCAAAATGTCCATTTCACTCCAATACATTGCATTTTAGGCACTTTATTGGTTACCTTGGATCAGGGAAAATACAAGATATCTGCCTTTTTAGGACTGGCTTATTTTTCTAAGTATAATGGCTTCCAGTTGTGTCTATCTTGTTGCGAAATAAATATTTCATTTTTTTATAGCTAAGTAGTACCCCATAATGTATTTATACCATAATTGCTTTATCCAGTCAACAGTTGATAGACATTTGGGTTGATTCCGTATCTTAGCTATTGTGAATCGTGCTGCTGTGAACATAGGGGTACAGATAACTCTTTCAGATGCTGATTTCTTTTGGTTTGGTAAATTCCCAGGAGTGGGTTGGCAGGATTGTATGGTAGGTCTATATTCAGATTTCTGAGGTATCTCCATACTGTCTTCCACAGTGGCTGCACCAGCTTGCGTTCCCACCAACAGTGGATTAAGGGTACTTTCCCCCCACATATGTTTTTTCTTGATTTCTATATGAAAGCCATTCTAACTGGACTGAGGTGAAACATTGTGATTTTTGACTTGCATTTCCCTGATGGCTAATGATCCAGGGCATTTCTTTAAGAGTCTGTTGGCCATTTATTTCCTCTTTTGAGAAATTCCTGTTTAAGTCCTTTGCCCTTTTAGTAACTGGATTTTTGCTATTGTTGTTTTTTAATTTCTTGAGCTCCTTATAGATTCTGATTTTTAACCCTTTATCAGTTGCATAGTTTTCAAATATTTTCTCCCATTCTGTAGGTTGCCTCTTCACTTTGCTGAGTATATCTTTTGCAGTGCAGAAGCTTCTCAGTTTGTTGTAATCCCATTTGTCAATTTTGGCTTTGATTGCCTATGCTTCTGGGGTGTATTCCAAAAAGTCTTTGTTTATGCCAATGTCTTTCAGAGATTGTCCAATGTTCTCCAGTAATTTCATGGTACCTGGCCATAAATTTTGGTCTTTGATCCATTTTGAGTGGATTTTTGTGTAATGTGTAAGGTAGGGGTCTAGTTTCATACTTCTGCATGTGGAGATCCAGTTTTCCCAGCGCCATTTGTTGAAGAGACTGTCCTTGATCCAGGGATTGATTTTAGCTCCTTTGTCAAAGATAATTTGGTTGTAGATGCATGTATTGATTTCTGGAGTTTGTATTCTGTTCCGTTGGTATACACATCTGTTTTTGTGCCAATACCAATCTGTTTTGATTATAACTGCCCTGCAGTATGTTTTAAAATCGGTATTGTGGTGTATACAGCTTCATTTTTGTTGTATAAGGTTGCGTTAGCTATTCAAGGTCTCCTGTGCCTCCATATGAATTTTAGCATCAATTTTTCTAAATCTGCAATGAATGTCACTGGTATTTTGATTGGGATTGCATTTAATCTGTAAACTGTTTTTGGTAGTATGGATATTTTAATGATGTTGGTTCTTCCAATCCATGAACATGGAAGATTTTTCCATTTTTAAAATATCTTCTTCTATTTATTTCTTTAATGCTTTGTAATTTTCATTGAAGAGATCTTTGACATTCTTGGTTAAATTTATTCCAAGGTATTTAATTCTTTTTGTAGCTATTGTGAATGGAATTGATATTAAAATTTCTTTCTCAGCCATGGCATTTTCTGTGTATACAAAGGCTATTAATTTTTGTGTGTTGAGTTTATATCCTGACACTTTACTAATCTCTTTTATGAGTTCTGATAGTCTCTTAGTGGTATCTTTTGGAACTCCTATATATAGAATCATGTCATCTGCAAAAAAAAGGTAGTTTGATTTCCTCCTTCCCAATTTGTAACCCTTCTATTTCTTTTTCTTGCCTAATGGCTCGGCTAAAACTTGTAGGACTATATTAAATAGCAATGATGAGAGTGAGCATGCATGTCTGGTTCTGGCTGTTACGGGAATGCTTCTAGCTTTTCCCCATTCAGTAAGATGCTGGCCATGGATTTGTCATACACTTCCTTGATTGTGTTGAGCAATATTCCTTCTACATTCAATT